AACCAAAAGGTATAGATTCGAATTTTCCTTGTCATAAAAAAAAAAAAAACTTGGTTGACTTTAAGAGGGAGTACTAGTTCAGAAGATATACGGTTTTTTTCTGTAGCGGAAGTAGATCTGCAACTATCATTTCTTTGTGTCATAGGTCATTGCATATCCTCATGAAATGGATGAATTCCCTTTCTCCTCAGCAGGAGTGGATCCAGGGAGCGGGAGGTTGTTCACCTAAACTTCACTGACAATACATACACTTTCATATAAGATAATTTTTGTAGCTCGGTGAATTAGAGGATTCAAAATTCATCTTGAAGTTTCAAATTTAAATCTTAGGCACTACATTTTAATTTTCAAGCCCTTGGTAAAAATCCGGATATGTCACTATTAACTTATATAAATATCCTCTGAAGATTCAAAACGTTTTTTTGTCTTTTGAATAGCTAAGCCTAGCCGTCTATTATGGTGGAAAAACTCCTCCTTTCATTTCCTACCTAGAACAAGTTAAAGAATAATTAGTAGTACCCCATATGGTTGGACCCAACCTAATAGGTATTTTCAACACTTGTATTGAAATTAAGTTACGTCTGTAAGGACTAAAATAAACAATTCAAATCACAATTGTTTGTAGTTAAAAGTTAATTGGAAAATTATTTTTTTAGTCAAGTAATTTGAGACAAAGGAGTATTATTATAGGATATTAGAGAGATTCAGAATTGCATCAGAAGGAACAGAGATCCAAAAGTTTCGTTTGTCTTGTTTTATTATATTATTCTCTCTAGATTTAAGTTTTTGTACATTGACTTTTACGTTAACTTTTGTTGACATAATCATTCATGCTTTGAATTCCATTTTTTGTGAAATTTAATCCATTTTTATAGTTGGATGTCAAATTTATTTGAAGAAAAACTTTACCATTTTACAAGAAATCATTTCTCCTGAAAATCACACTAATATGAGCATGTAGTTATAGAAAATTGTTATCATTTTTATTTTATTAATTTTAGGATGTAGAAAAATGGATTATATTTGAAGTCCAAGCATCACATCATTGATTGGATTGATGATTTTCCTAGAAAAACATCTAATAAAAATGTTTTGTGATGCTAACATAAATTTGTATTTAGACATGGCAAATACAAGACCTATTGTAAATGTAAGAACAACTAAGTTTAAGTTGAACTAGTTGGTATCACTTGTATAGATCAGTTGCTTCCATTGTGTTTTGTTCTTAGGGAAGTTCTCCTTTTCATAATAAACCTTGTTTTGTTATTATATCGTAAAAGTCGTTTTTCCCAAGCCATATTAAGTTCACAAGTTTTTTCTTTTCATCAGTATCCGGGATTACTGGAAGTGCTGCAGAAGCGCAGAGCCAGGTCTCTGTAGGAATAGGCTTGTTAGCTGGGTCGACAGTGATGCTTCTTACTGTGATATGGGGAACCTGTTGCATTGTTGGCAAGTGTGATATAGAAAATTCTACTGCTGTGGACTTGAAAGACACTAAAGGGCACAGTTTGACTGGTATGTCTCTTTACTTTAGAGTATCTGCATGAACTTGCTTTTCTCTCACCCTCCTTTTTTAGCAAGTTTTATGAATAATTTTGATGTGTTGCATCCAGTGGATGCACTATATTACCAAATGTGAACTATTATGAATGACTGGTTTGCTAGTTAACATAGGGGAACTTTCATGAAACACCATTGTAACCATCTGGTACCAAATTGCAGGAACAAATCATGTATATTTTGCTCATATTCCATATGATATAAAGGATTAGGATGTCGTAAAGTTTAAGGCTCATACATTTTTATGGTGACAAATATGTTCCTCGTAATTCTTCTTACAATATGTAGGCTTTTGAATAATGCATGTCATATTTCATGCTACTAGAAGGCAGGTTCTATCTATCAAAGTATTTCTGCTCAAAAGGTGGGTCTCTCTGTCTGTAGGTTCTGGTGTTGCCACTGATATCTGGACAAGCTATGCTGCAATGATCATGGCCATATCTGTTCTTCCATTTATTGTTGTGCAGTTACCACAGCTCTTCCATTCAAATTCAGGAAGACATTTAGCTGTCTTGATAGCTCTTATCATATCGTTGTCGCTGCTCCTCTCTTATTGTCTTTATCAGGTAATTGTCAGGTTTTCATTTTTTTTTTCTCCATCAATCTTGATGAGTTTTTCTTCTTTCACGCCACTGACATTAATGGCGGAGAATACGCTTAATCCTGGTTGGTAATTGACACTAATGCTTGGTTGGTAAATCGATAAATCCTGCTGAACTTCCTTTAACTGTTAATGCAGGTCTTTCAGCCTTGGATACAAACACGAAAGCTTGCTTATGTAAAACATAAGCATGTCATATCAGGAATTTTGAAGCATTTAAAAAAGCACGCATTGGGGAGGCTTTTCACAGATCATGGAACACCAAATATAGAAGTTTTAGAAAAGTGAGCTTTAAATTGTTTCTGCCTTGTTTATATCACCGTAGAATGATGGCTGATGTGATGAAGCATTGTTTTACAGGCTGTTCAATGCAATTGATGAAAATGGTGATGGTCATCTTTCCCATTCTGAATTAAGAGCTCTGGTCGTAGGAATCAGTCTTGAGGAGATTAACTTAGAAGAAGATGATGCAATAGCAAAAGTACTGAAGGACTTTGATACGTCTTGTGATGATCAAGTTGATATGCAAGAATTCATTGATGGAGTTGAAAAATGGCTTTATGAAGCCAGGAGTTCTAATGGTTCTTCTGCTCAGGCTGGTCCTAATACAATCAATTACATCGATGATTTTCATGAGGTATGTTGTGACCTGATGACATTATTTAAATAGTTATAGTTAGAACGATTATGATACAGTGTAGATGAACGTTGCAGGAAACAAGGAGAGAGCACAGTCTCTTGGGGGAGGATCAAAGTGATGAAATTGTTGAGGGTGTCGAGAATCCTCGAAAAGTTGCTATAAAGGCCGCGTTACTGTTGTTGTTGGGTACCATCATTGCTGCTGTCTTTGCTGATCCTTTAGTGGATGCTGTTAATAATTTCTCCAGTGCCACAAGTATTCCATCTTTCTTCATCTCATTCATTGCACTGCCTCTGGCAACAAACTCCAGTGAGGCAGTGTCGGCTATAATTTTTGCTACCCGGAAAAGGAAGAGATCTGCGTCATTAACATTTTCTGAGGTCTGTTTTTCTTGCTTGACTTCCACCCCTTTAGTATGAGAATTTAATTGATTTTCCCTCCAATACTTGCATTAGTTAATATAAACGATCAAATTCTTAGTAATCACCGACGATTTAGACTTGAACTGAAGACTTAACTTGTAAAATCCTTTGTCGTTCGCAACTTTAGCTGTACCAGCACTTCACTAGATTTAATGGTATATAGAAGCTTGAAGCAAATAAAGAGACAGACCTCATTCATCACAGAAAAAGAAAAAAAAAAGTAATAGTAAAATACAGAGACCAAGAACCTCAACTAGAGATTCTAAAGCTTTCACAGCCATTACATGAGTAAATTTCTGTCAGGACCTGGCATTACACTAGTTTTCATGCAATAATTACTCCTAATTTTCTTATTCTTCGATCTTATTATTACATGTTTTTTCCTTAGCTTCGGTTAGCGTATTATTTGTTGTTGCTGCTGTTCACTTCTCCTTTTGTTTTTAGTATGTCTTCTTCACTACTACATTTCCTTAAGATGCTTGATTTTGATATGTTTTACTTGAGCTGAGAGTCTATCGTAAACCACCTCTGCCGCCTTCACAAGGTAGGGGTAAGGCTGTGTATACATCACCCTCTCCAGACCCCACCTGTGGGACTACATTGGGTAATGTTGTTGTTATATTTTATACTTCACTCTAGGGGTGGCAATTGGCGAGTTGTGTTAAATTTGAGCGGGTCATAATAGGTTAACAACCCACCCAAACTTAAATGGGATGGACAGGTTCAGTTTGATTTTGCCACCCTTACTTCACTCTTAGGTAAGCCTTGTTTGTTTTGTTCAGTTTCCCATGTCTAATAATACATATGATGCTATCTTGCAGTTATATGGAGCTGTGACTATGAACAATCTCCTTTGTCTGTCAGTCTTCTTGGCTATTGTTTACACCCGAGGATTAATATGGAACTTCTCATCTGAAGTGTTGGTTATTCTAATTGTTTGCATTGTTATGGGGATCTTAGGGAGCATCCGCACCACCTTTCCTCTGTGGACTTGTTTGATAGCTTTTGCACTTTATCCATTCTCCCTTGCACTCGTGTATGTTCTTGACTACGTCTTTGGTTGGTTATAGATCGATCATTGTAAGGAACAAAGATCAGAGTTGGTGTGTATATTTTGAGCAGCAGTGCACATCAGTCGTCTTGAATGTGTCAAAACTTCTTGATTATAAATCTCAATTGCTCTTCCCAGAGCTGAGAAACCTTGTTTTTACATGTAATTTGAAATTCCAAATACTATGTTTATTATGTATTGGATTTTTAGTTTTCCAGATATACATACATGTCCATTGATGTTAAGCCTATTGCTGTTGCATTCTCAGTCTCTCTCTCTCTCACACACACGTGCACGGATACACATATTTATCAAATAATAGTACTATAGTTCGAGAGAAAGTAACAGTATCTACTCAGACACTACAATGGAAGTGTGTTGGATCAAGAACAGATTTAAGGCCATGAAACACATCCTTTGTTTAAGACAAGCCTGTTATTCTTCTGATGTTTTCGATTGTTACATGCAAAAAAATGACTTTCATTACACTTTTCACTGCAAAAGACTCCATAAACTACTTGAAAGACATGAAATGAAGAGCTTTTTGTTTACCTTCATTTTGTTTTAGTAATAAAACTATAGTCAAACAACTATTATCTTTTTTTCATTGTGAAACACCATGTTCAAGGCATCTTTTTCATTTTATAATTATCTACTACTGCAGTTTAGAAGTAATGTTTTTTTACCTCTATACTTAACAAACCATCTCTCCAGGATATAATATCATATGGCATGGAATAAACTTCTATAGCTTCAGATTGAGATCAACTTTTCCTCCTACATCACCATGAGGGTTTCCTGGTTGGCCAATTTGCACGTTCGGAGGTGGGAAGAATCTGTAAATGCGTTGTTGAACTGATCTGTTTAGGCTTGACCTAGTGCTAGGCTCTTCAGGAACTTCCTGTGGAGTTGGAAAACTCAATAAGGATACATATAAGGTAACATGAATCATAAAATGAGATGTTATAGTGCTTTTGTTGCTCACTTGAAAGGGTAGAGTCTCGAATTTCAACAGCTCGATATTCTGAGGGGCTAAATTAGGAAAAACTTGCTGATTTACTGCACCAACAGCTGTAGGAGGAGCCAATGTGAGAAAATCTCCATTGAGAGCTATATTTTGTCTAACAACATTCCTTGATTTTGCATCTGGCAGAGTTCTTGATTTTAAAGGAACTTCTCTGACAAGTTGATCAACGAGAGTCGTTAGAGGTGAGTACTCAACTACTTAAACAACGCTAACTTCAGGAGAGATATCGAACCTTTTAAGATAAGTTCTTGAGTCTGAATTTGCTGTGCACATAGGGGCATCATAGCGCGGAGGAAATTTGCAGTGAAATGTTGGGACAGGAGGGAACTCTGGAGGGAATGTATATGGTCTTTTTATGCCAACCCTCTACATTAACAAACAAAATATAGTAGCTATCAACCAAAAACTACTAAACTTATATCTTCTACAAACAGATTAGAAGGTGAAACAGATATTTACCTTCACTTCATCTGGCCATAGAGGTAAATAATTATAGCCATGATAACTTTGGTTTGAAGGGGGCTCCATCTGATAATTTGTAACAGATGATGATGATATCCCTGATGAGATATTCACCTGCAAAATCCAGGATACTAATTTGGTTCAGCAACTAAATTCTACCAACGACAGGTCAGCCTGAATAACAAAATACAGTTTACCCTTAACTAGGAGTTTCAGGTTCAAGCCCCGGGAATGGACTACTCCTTGATAGGGTGGTAAGAACTCTATGTAGTGAGTTTTACTACAGTCTACAATGCTACTCCAGATTAGTCGTGCTAGTAGATTGCAGACACATTAAATGGTTAAACTAGAAAAGAACAAAGGTGATAACTAAGCAACGATCAACGACTGTGATGGAATGCTTTAAAGATTTCTCTACCCTTAACCAAATGGTTCAGGCCCTGAGAATGGAGTTTTCTTTAACAGGAACACCAAAGCTCCTCATATAGTGGGCTTTCTTTAAAGCTAAACAGGATTAGTCAGGCTGCTAAATTCCAGACACCAGATGAGTAAACCAAGAAAAAAAGAGAAGATAATAAATAAGCTACCACCAAGGGTTGTGATGAAATGGTATAGATTCCTCTACCCTTAACCAGAGGTTTCTGGTATGAGCCCTGAGCACAAGCCCTAATGTCCACGTTAAACCGAGCCTAACACTCTCCATAGATACCTTTCTAAGACTCAAATCTAAATTAGTTGAGCTAGTGAATTCTGAACAAAAAATTGCTAAACTAGAAAAAAAAAAGTGATAAGTAAGCTACCACCAAGGGGCGTGATGGAATGGTAAAAGTTCCTCTATCCTTAACCAAACAAAAGGTTTTATGTTCGAGCCCTGAGAACAAATACCTCTAAAACTCCCCAAGTAAACATTCCACAACACTAATCTGAACTAATCAGGCTAGTAGATTCCAAACCCCAAATGGTCCAAAAACAAAAAAAGAGACAAGTAATGCAGCTTAGCTTACCATTGATGAAGAACAAACAGGTTGTTGATATTGTGGCAAGGCGAAAATCGGGGATTGAATAACAACACCATGATGATACAACTTCTCATCTTGATGATCTTTCTCAGAATTAAACTTTCCACTACACAATGTAGAGCAATCATCATCATTCCCTTCACTCACATTCACTTGTTTTGTAGATTCCAAACCCTTTTTTGGACTCAAATTATCAACAAATGGTTTTGATGAATTTAGTCTAAAGTCACAATTTTTCAAAACTGATGATGATTTTAAAGCCCTAAAAGTTGAATCTTTTGATGTAACAATTGAATCTGATGGCAAAATTTCATCTTTTATTTGTTGTTCCTCTAATCTAATCTTCTCAAGTTGTGCAACACCTAATCCTCTTTGTGGAACTCTTTTTTGCTTCAACTTTTTAGTACCACTATTACTACTATTGTTATGTTCTTCTATTGTCATTATTGCCTCAGCCATTAAAATAAAAAAATAAAATTATATATAATTTAGAAAAAAAAAAACTATATTATATATATATAAACACAAAATCCATCAAGAACACAAAACATGATTTTCTTGAAATACAGAGGATCTAAGAAATCCCAATCTGTATATTGATGAGTGGATTTGAAAACAATGAAATGAAAATACTGAAATAATTCAGCAAGATTGTAACTTTGATATGAAAATAGTATAAATTTTTTGTGAAATTATAGTGTTGTTGATTAGATCACTAAAATATGAAAAAATAAATACACTTAAAAGAAGAGAGTTAAAGACAAAAAACAAAATCTAAGAAAGTTCAAATTTTAAAATGCAAATCTAAAGGAAGCTAAAAAAGTGGTCTTTCTCCCATTTTTTACTAACAAAAATATCGGCAAAATGGTCGTTCCACTCTTCATTTCTTTTTCCCTAGACCGACTCTCATGTACTCTTCTTTCTCCTTTGTTTTCTCCCTCTTGTTTTTTTCGTTTTTTCGACACGTCAATATTTGACGCAGACTAAAAGTGTTAACTTTTTATAAATTTAAAAAATTGTAACATAAGTGATTATTTTAAGAGGAATTTTCGTATATAGCTATTGTTTCATCCCTAATCCTGAAATATAGTGATAGTATTTACGGAAAAGGGTCAAAATTGCCCCCGAACTATATGAAATAGACCATTTATACCCTTCGTTACATTTTGGGATAAAAATTGCTCTTGTTGTTATCCTAAGAGACCACAAATACCCTCAAGAGTTAACACCCCAAATTTTTGTTAACGTGGCAAGCCACATGGGACTAATCCTTCCACCTAAGCGTTGCCAACTAGGATTCACTACAAAAGAACTAGACCTTTAGCGGCAACAACAGTCGCCACAAAAGCCCAGAAAATCGTCACTAAAAGTTTTTAACATTAAATTCTAATTTTGTGTTTTTTTTCTTCATTGTTTTTAAAAAACCAAATATGATATCGATTAAGTAGGAGTTTGAAGACACTATATGTTTTATTTTTATGTCATATGTAAATGTATAAAATGTACAATGATGCATTATATATATATATATATATATATATATATATATATATATATATATATATATATATATATATATAGTAGGAGATTTGAATCGAGAAGTAATTTTGATTATTTTTCGTAATAATATTGGATGTTTTTAATATGGATATTGCAAGTTATTTATTTTAGAAAATTAGGTCGCAATCGAAAATTAATTATCATATTTTTTTGTTGAAAAAATAGGTTTTACTAGCGAATGGTTGTTGGAGCCTTAGTCGCCACTAAAAATCACTCATAACCTTTAGTGACAATATTTTGGGATTTTGTGGCGACTTTGTCGCCACTAAAAGTCAAGTTCTTTTGTAGTGAATCTTAGTTGGCAATGCTTAGGTGGAGGGATTAGTCCCATGTGGCTTGCCACGTCACTAAAAAATTAGGGTGTTAACTCTTGAGGGTATTTGTGGTCTCCTGTGATAACTGCGGGGGTATTTTTGATCCAAAATGTAATGGAGGGTATAAGTGGTCTATTTCGCATAGTTCAGAGGCAATTTTAACCTTTTCCGTAGTATTTATTAAATGTAGTAATTGTTTAATTTAAAAGGTAGCAGAATATATTGTATCTACGTGCAAGTGAAATACACTATAGTTAAAAGTAATATTTATAATTAAACCGCAAAATCAAATCTCTTGAGATTGCATTAATTCTCCTAAAATGTATTTTTTTTCAATTTATTTTTACTTGTTCATTTTGAACTTTGCATGATCTTCAAGAAATAATGATTGATATTAATATTTTACAGGAATACCATATAAATTAATATGTAGTTACTCACAAATAAAATTGAAAAAATATTTTTGAAATACTGAACAAGTAATGAGATCGGTTAGACCAAATGTGTGGGACCCTTTTATTGCATGCAATTCAACAAGAAAAATTTAAATTAATAAAAAAAGATCATCATGACCTCAATCAATCTCCACATAGATATAACCAAGTAACCAACAAAAAAAGAACTCTTCGTTGGGTATCTTCTTCTTCTTTTTTTCCTTCCTCGAGTTGTGATTTGGCTGTTGGGAAGTCGTTATATAATATACACATACAATTTACTCGTCATAATTTATATGATATTATTTGAATTTTAGGAATCAAACAAGAAAATTTGTCACCATATTTTCTTTGTATGTCCTTAATATAAATTATGTCTGAATGCACGATCAAAATTATGAAATCTTACTCAAAATACAAAGTATATCGTATAAATTGGATATATATATATATATATATATATATATATATATACAATCTTATGTAAGTTGATCTTGACTTTTAAACTAGTTGTTATGATGAAATATAAATTATTTGTAATTATTGTTGTCATTTTTTCTTGGAAATGATTGATGATCCAAAGCGGCCTCGGAAGGTCATCAAGTCACTCTTTTTTTATAAAAAAATAATAATTTGGAATTTGAAACTCCATGACGATTGCTATTTGTAAAATTAAAATAAAATAGGAGTATCATCGAAAATGCTATTTCATCGATGGGGGTTGAGGCTAGATTTAGTTTTTACAAACACGGCTTTAATTTTACGTCATTTATAATATATTGGAATTGGTGTATAGCCAACTAAGTAATTTGGAAGATGTGAAAATGGTAAAAGTATATTCGTATTAATTTTACGTAACTATGACATGTATTTGAACATATACAATTATCATTAATCATGATTAAATAATGTATATTTTTACTTTATTAGATCACATAAATTGGGTATTAGCCCAAAAATTCCCATTTTTTTCGAATATTCGGAAAAATAAAATAAGTCAAAAAGCTGAAAATGGAAGGTCCCGTAGCTCAGTTGGTTAGAGCGTTGGTCTTATGAGCCGAAGGTCGCGTGTTCGAGCCCCGCCGGGACCAACCATAATGTTGATTTATTTTGTTTTCGCTTTTCCGGTTATTTTTTTAGACGTCTTGTTTGGATGACTAATACATCCTATTTTATATTGTTTTGATGAATACAATATTATGAAATAGATTGTCTTGTTTCTCATTGTAATCCAAACTTGACAAAAATTATTAGTTTCGTCCCGAACTATTGACAATTCTAAAAACATTTTTCTATTTGATTAACTAAACTTAGATACACCCCGAATCCACCCCATCCCCACGCCAATGTGTTACATGACCTAACAAATGGTTACAAACTCATATAGGAGCATTAGAATCTTAATAAAAAACTGAGAGAAGTGTTGAAAACACACCTAAATTTGACGAGAAATTAGGGGTAGATTTCCCTCATATAAAATTGAGGTGTATTTAAGTTTATTAGTCAAGTAAAGTAGTGCTTTAAAGGCTGTTGATAATTGAGAAATTAAACTAATAATTCACGCCTAGATTAGGGTGTTATCAATACTTATCTCTAAAAGAAAGGAGTAAAGTACGAGGTGAAGCTATTTAGAAAAAAATAATTAGCTAACAAATAAAATAAAATTAAAAAAAATATGTGATCATACCAAATTGTTCCTTAGATTAAAATGGAACATTGGTAAACTATCCAAATAAGGTGTAAATAAAAGAGAAATGAATAATTGCATTGTTCTTTTTTCAATTTTTGATGCTAACCACGCGAATCCTCAATTAAAACGAATCAAAAGATATCTTCTTTCTTGTCTGATTTGAAGCACTACAATATTATATTCCGATGAATATTCACTCTCTTAAAAAGAAAATCTTGGATAGTGAGTGCCCTGATTAGGTAATATATTCTCTAATCGAGTCAGGTCCAAAATCCAATTTTTTATCGTGACATGAGAGTGAGATCCACTCAATTTTCTTATCATAATATCAAGGTGGTGTTAGAAGCCCAACATCTGAGTGAGATGATAATTTGTTGTTTTGGGCAATACTCGTCTCTTGAGCTAATTATTGAATTGAGCTAGATACAAGGTCAAGAAAGTAACTTCTTGGGATCGAGTCTAGATCAATAATTTAACTTTCTTGCAATAATTAACACTCTTAATGACAAAGACTAAAGAAATAAGCTAAATTCAAAGCTCTTTAACAAATATCCTGTTGGTAGTGTATCAAGGTGAAGAAAAAGGAAACTTCTCTAGTTCCAAAGAACTTAATAGGCCACATGCGATTGTGATAGGATAGATAGAATCTCTCTGCCACTTAACCAGATGTCTCGTGTTTGAACTCAGGAAAACAAACAAATCCGAACAAGGAGTGTTTTCATCCCTATAATGGGTCTTAAACACACGAATCAATCAGTCGAGGCTCCAAGACAAGTACCATTATGAGGGTGGCATATGAGTTATGACTTGTTGGACAGTAAGTAAATAAACCTGAACTGATTTTTTGGTTCCTTGCTATTTCTGTTCTATATTTGAAATTTTCATCACTCCTAGTATTAAACTTTGTAGGTACAAGAAAATAGATATATGCCAATGACAACACTATTGGTTGATGGAAACTTTGAAGTTCTTTTCACAAGATTTGATTTTTATTTTCATTTAAACCTATAATGGCATAGAAGTCATCCCACATGGGGTCAAGTAATTACACACTCAATACAAAACTGTAATATAGAAACAAAATACAGCAAGCTCCAACTCATGATATAACCATAAAGCATTAGTTCCTCTGTCATTTTAGTAGGGCATCCTAATTATAAATGGTATTGAAAACATAGCCACCACAATAAACTCTACAATCCCTTAATACTACAAGTTTATAGTATACTTTTCTCGCAAAGGGTGTTCATCTGACCATGATTTAAAATATTTAGTGTCATTTATCTTTCTGTTTGACAGTACCAATCAATCATAAAGAAGTGACAATAACTACTATGAGGCAATTGTCAACATCTTGATGTGTCTAACTAATATTTTCCCAAGGGAGTAAGCAATAAACACCAAAAAAAGAAAAAGGAAAACAAAGAGAGAACATCCCACTAGACAGTCTTTTATTAGGTGTACTGAG